ATAGAAATTTTTTGATATTTGCAACCATAGTAAAACAAAGATTTATATTTTTGATATTTATTTTATATATTTAAATGCCATTTAACAAAGAAAAATCAACCAAAAAAATGAGTTTGTGTGTCACCTCTGATAGGTTCGCCATCACTGTCTTAGAGTAAGGACTGAAGATTCTAGGCTATTGTAATGATCCTGAGGGTAGAAGGTGATGGTGTCTTGCACCAGGGGGGTTGCAGTGAATATGAAAATAAGTGGTTGGGTTTTGCATGTGTTTTGAAGGAAAAGGCAGAATTTTCTGAAAAATTGGAGAAAGGGTAGGAGAGAAAGAGAAGAGACATAGACCATAGCAGATGGACTTGCTGTGAGCTACTTTGGGAAGAGTGTAGGAGCTGGTGGTTAAGAATGGGGAGCTGATGAGCCCAGTTGGGGACATCGGGAGTTGGAGGTGTCAAGAAGAGAGCTTTTGTTTGTTTGATTGTTTTGACTGTTCCCATCACCATGTATTTGTTTACTTCAGCTAGAGACTTACCGACATTTGCAAACATGAAAGAACAGTGCCAGGCCGACTCCAAACATTTCCTCAAAGGGTTTCGAGAGTTCCAGACATCTCCATGTGAACATGAGTCCACAGCACAGCACATCGAACCTGGGACAAGCGTTCAGTATCTGTACTTTGTGGAGAAGTCAGTCCTTCAGGGACACGAGCAGGCCAGCCTTTCCGGGCGCCTCAGTAGGTACACAATCTCCATGAAGTCGATCATCTCCTGCTTGTCTTCCTTGGCCCGGTTCTTCTGGTTGTTGCCAGTACCCAGGCCAATCCTGATGTGCTTGTCACTGAAGAAAAAGAACACAGTCCACGGATCGTATAACTCATACATTTTGTTGAAGTTGGGTACTAATGTAGTTTCCACAAGATGAGTAACTGCCAGATGTTTAAGCGCCTCTGCTATGCTGTCCAGAACCTCGTCCACTTTCATGCACTTGTGCTCCAATCGTGCCCGAACCAAATGTCGACTGCTAGGTCTTCTTCGGAAAGGACGGTCTCATCCACCTTGTGCAAGTGTGGGACCAGGTACGCCACGCTGGCGACTCAACTGGACTCTCGCTAACACAGGGCCTCCCAAGTAGAGGGCTTTTGTTTTTAATTGGAGTTCAGGAAAATAGATTTGGGTTAGACATGTGAATTTGGGGGTCATTAGCACAACTGAGGTGTTTAAACCACCAGATTAAATGAGATTATTTAGGAAGGACATGTAGATTTTTTAAAAAGGAGGAGTTCCAAGGACTGAGCCCTGAAGCAAGTCAATGCTAGAGGATGGGGATGCAGGAGGACCAGCGAAAAGCAACCCAAGTGGGATGTTCGCTCAGATTATACAGTCCTTGTCTAAAGTGTATCCTGGTACTAATTAGAGTATATGAATACGAATATTAATTCGCTACCTGCTTTATTTTTCTTTATATCTCCAAAATATGACACCCCCATAACAACATGCACACACCTACATGTGAATATGTGTGTGTTCTAATGAAATGATATTAAAGAATTTAAATAGAAACTAAAATGTACATATTCACATATATACACTTTAATTGTTTTACTAGTGGAAAACTATTATGAAGCCCATTTCAATTTTCATGATCTATGATTTGCCATATTATTTACACCCTATAAAATATTTTTTGTCCAAGCAGATATGTTGTAGTTTTGCTGGTTTTATCTGATTGATATTTAATTCAAGTGTTTGGATTCAGTTTAAATTTCAGACCACTATAAAACAGAGTTTTGCTATATTCTTTTTATCTCGATAATTAAATTGTACTCATAACTTCCCATTTAAGAAGCTATAACTGTGAAAATATATGACATGTTTAAGAGTAAGGCACTGAATAGGTAGATGAAATTTATGTCTACTTAAACTTATTTTCTGGTGGTGATATTTTTTTCCATACCATACTATTTCACCCTGGGCACCAACATTGGCTTTTATTGTGGAAAATGAATCTTTCAGCCTCACTAGGTAAGGTGATCATCGTTATGGGACCAAAGTGGGAGAAGCGATGCCTGCTGCCTAACTCCCTCCGACAGACCAACTTAGGAGCAGGGGCAGGGTTATGCTGATGTCCCCAGACTGTGACTGAAGAATTGCCGAAACTGGTTTGGCTCAGTGGATAGAGCGTCAGCCTGCAGACTGAAAGGTCCCAGGTTCGATTCTGGTCAAGGGCATGTACCTGGGTTGCGGGCACATCCCCAGCAGGAGATGTGCAGGAGGCAGCTGATCGATGTTTCTCTCTCATCGATGTTTCTAACTCTTTCTCTCCCTTTCTCTCTGTAAAAATTCAATAAGATATATAAAAAAATAAAAAGTAAAAATAAATTGCAGATATTGCCCTGGGGCTAATACTGCCTTAGCTATTAAAAAAAAAAAAGAATGTATTGGAGGGGAGGAAAGGAAGTGGGTGGGAGGTATATTGGGAGGGAAAAAATGAAGGGATGGTGCAAAAAAGTAAGGGGAGGCAATGCTGGTAATGGGAAAGGAACCGAAGCATCTTGTGCTAAATATAAAAATGGAGTGCAAAAGTAGCTTCGTAAAAGGTTTATGAAAATTAAAATTAGTTCGGGATAAGGAATGTAGGGTAAGATTACTGAACTTTTATCAGAATTATTGTGTAGAAGATCAAGGGTTCAGAGGGGATAAGGGTCAAAACAGTGACAGCAGGTGTCCCTGCCAGTGCTCTACTCTCCACCTGCATCTGGATTTCCCTTTGTTACAAATGTTACACCTACTGGCGCAGAACCGCCTGGCGTGGCCAGGAAATCTGCACTTCTAACACCCAGACGCTGTCCTCATCCCCAAGTCAATCTTATGCCCGCTAAAATTTGAGCACAGCTGAACTAGGATAGAAGAAATGAACACTTGAGAAATAAATCTTGAAAATGTACATGTTCGATTCAAATGGAGAGGAGACACTAAGGGAATTTGCAGAGTAAGAAATAAATAGAAAAAAATAATGTACGGGAGTGACTGTATGAGGGGCCAGGAATGCCATCCTCAACAAGAGGACAGTTATGTGCAGAGAAGAATGGAAGCGCGCACATGACCTTGAGAAAGCTAGCTTTCCAAGCAAGAGCTAGGTCGTGGAGGCCTGTCAGTACCCATAAGATGACACCAGAGAGCAAAGTGTAATGCCAGAGGAGCAGATCAGTGGAAAGGGGTCGCGGAGCAGCCACTACACACTGCCTTCTGTGTCGGGTGGGTAGTAAGTCTTACTCTCAGCTGTCAGAGCTGCTGGGCATCAAACATCAGCCCCACCCTGGTGTCCCATCAATATCTTTAGATAACCATTATCTTTACAAAAATAACACCTGGTTGTTTGATTTACTAAAGAGCGCGGTAGATTGAACTTCGTACGAAATCTGAGTACAGATGATTTTCGTTAAGGGCCTTAGCACACTCCTGCCTAAGATTGGGAGAGCCGGAAAGAGACAAATAATTGACAGGGACATAGTTTCTTTTCTCCTCCTCACCATTGTTATTTGTCTAGGGCTTTAATTGGCATTAAAATATATATGATAAGTAAGGTATGTTTTATTTTTAACCTTCTGCTTCTGAAATTTCAGTCACATGCAAAGTTGAGAGCAAATTCCCCTAAGTGTCACAGATTAGCACTGTGTTTTCTTCATAAACCTATGCCCTTCGTTGACTTCTTGTCCTGTCGTAGGAATAGTCCAAGCAACCAAGGACATTCCTCTTCATTAGCATGCAAGAAAAAAATTAAATAAATAGCATGATAGCCATTATATGTTTACAAAAGAATATTATTTCCCTGAAGAAATGGATACTTCCTCCTGAAAATCATTAGTGTTTAAAGGGAAGGGGACCGTGATTCCTAGATGTGAATTTTTCTTATTGGGTTCTAATATTTCAAAATAAGAAATGGAATGATGGGAATGTTAATAATGTAACTGGTAAATATAGAGAAAATATTCAATAAGTACCCAACATAGTAGCAAGGTATTGTGAGAAATGCTTTGACAGTTGGATACAAAGGGATGTAAGCATGCTTTGCACCAACCCTGTGAATGCAACAACCATGACTTCTCTCTTTTTCCCCTTTGCCTAGTGCTTTGCTATTTCTTCCTTTCCCTGCTGGAATGCCTCCTTTATCTTTCCTAATGAAACTGGCCAAAGATTTCTTCCCTCCATGGAATTCCTACCCCCATAACATAACCTGCTTGACCAATTCCTAGATGATGGTTATAAACAGCAGAAATCAATTTTAGATTTTTTATAACAAATGAAAAACCACAGGAACAAAAAGGGTGATGATAAAATAGCATAATGTAATTTTTTGCTGGAAATGCCCTTTTTCTCTACAATAAAATTCTCCATATGCCCACTTGGCATTAAATTCTTTTCTCAGCCATTAAAATTTACTCCCTTTGTCCCAAGTATCATGGGGGAAGATATAGGTAGTAGTTACTGGCTGCTTGCTCTGTGTCAAGCACTCTGTTAGGCACTTGCCATGAATGATCACCAACCCAACCCACCTATTATAAATAATTGTTCAGATAATTATGCCCACCTCCCTCATGAGGAAGCAGAAGGCTGCTCAAGGTCACCCAGCTAATAAGTACCAGAGCCAGGATTTATATTCAGTCTTTTCCCTCTGTGCTGTGTGACCTCAAGTTTATTAATAATTAATACTAACACTAATTTGTTTTGATTGTTAATACTTGATATATGTAAACATAAAGAATGTTCCTAGTATATGAGTAAGAACTAGATTTATTTTCCCTAGTCTTAAAAAATACCTTGTTCATTTTACTTAAAAAAAAACAACAACTCTTCTTAGGACATTGTAAAAATCTCTCAGAATAGTTCTTATCTGTTCAATAGGAAGTAATGACATATGGACTTATGTTTATGATTTGCCATCTGATATTAAGGGCTGCAAATTCTTTCTGCTTTGTGTGTAACTTGCCTTTCTCTTTGTTGTTGTAGTACTGGCTACCAGTTTATTTACTATTCACCTGAAAACACAGCCAAAGCAAAGGAAGTTCTCAGCAACATCAATCAACTACAACCTCTGATAGCAACCCATGCAGACCTACTGCTTAATTCTGCAAGCCAGCATTCTCCAGACAGCTTGAAGAATTCTTTAAAGATGCTTTCAGAAAAAGTAAGACCCAAATCATTCCTACAGTGGGGAAAATGAAATACCCCAATCCACATGGGTGTTGCTTTATGCGTACATTGCCTTTCCTAGCACCTGGAAATGTAAAATAGACTAAGTTAAAAAGTAAGCTTCAGAGTATTGCCACAGGACCAAACTGAATTGGCCTCATTCTCTTCATATCTTAACTGAGCACTGATTTTTTTTTCCTGGTAGGAAATGAAACCTGTTATTGGTTGGTATATATTTTTTTCTTTTCCTTGACATCCTTCATTTTCTTTGGCTCGTGGCCTTGTCAAATAAATTAGATTTTGAAAGTTATTTTCCTCTGGTGATCACCTAAATTATATGCCTATGAAGCTATACATTTAAATGGGAATTCACTTCATTTGAAAACAGGACTTGGATGTGAATTCTTATCAGTGACGTAGGGTAATTTCTCTGCCTGATTCACTTTCAACATTATCTACTGGGAAAAGGTTCTAAAATTTCCCCAAAATATTAGTTATTGTTTGACATGTTAGTGGGACCTAAGCCTTCATTTTTCTAAGGGTGACTTGCACTTTATATGCAGAGAGGACAGGTAGCCTGGCAAAGGTAGGTACTATATCAATTCCATAACTAATTAGGGCAACTAAATGACACCAAGGTAGCAAAAGACAAATTGCAGTTTGTTTTTAAATATAAAACCAGGTGTCCAGGTGTCCTGGTGTCCAATTCCAATACAATTATCCTTAACCTCTGCATTCTGAGGACACCTTGCAATTTATTATGAGATCCTTTCAGTAAATATGTCCTTGAAGAAACTGACCAAAGAAAGTTCTCTTGGTGTTATCCTATATAATAAAAACCTAATATGCTAAGTGTTGGACCATTCGTTCAACTGTTTGACCAGTTGCTATGATGTGCACTGACCACCAGGGGGCAGATGCTCCGATTGGTAGGTTAGCTTGCTGCTGGGGTCTGGCCAATCAGGACTGGGTGAGACAGGCTGGAGCCCTCCTAGGTCCCTCCCCACTCCCTGGCAGGATAATCTCTCAAGTTCCTCCCTGGCCTCTAAAATATTTCTTCTAATTAATTTCCTTTCCATGTGCATGAATCTGTGCATTGGGCCTCTAGTTTTAGAATAAAATAACAGTGTAGTTTTTTGCAGATGATAGGTATATATTTTTTATTCAGATATGCTAATTTATAATAATAATAAAAATAAAAATAATAATACTTTTTACTTATTTAACATTTTACTTATTTACTTAACATTTTAGTTTAAAGAGTACATTATTATAATTTTCTCATAGGATATAAATAATATCTATTTGTATTAAAAATTAGCTAATACCTGTTCAGAAAGGTCAAGTGAATTGTCTAATTAATTAAAAAGTTAAAAAGTCAAAGCCTAAGACTTCCAGTTCAAACTGCAGCATTCCTTCTATGTCAGATCAGGTGCCTCCATCATGACAAGGGAGGGAAAAACTGACCCAAATTTTACAAGTACCGACTTCGCCAAATCTTGTGCCAGAGGCTTCGTGACTGGTGTTATTTTACTGTACCTTGAAATGGTGGGTACATACTGATTGTCTAGCTCACTTCCAGAGGCAGTTTCCAGGCCATAGCACAAAAAGGGAAAAACCAGGGAGGGAGGAAACTTTCCGGTATCCTCTATGTAATATATGCATTTTGACTTTTACATTTTTAAAATTACAAAGAAAATTTTAGACAAACTCATCAGCAATGCTTAACTATTCTGATAATCAATAAATATATCTAATTATCAATAAATATATTATGGCCAGGAAAAGGGAAGCGGGGAGAGGAAAGTGTTATACACAGTAAAATAATGTAATTTCATTTTGGTTCAGTTCTTTTTGGAATTTCTGGACGGAGGTGAGGCTTCTTGAATTCACCTAAGCAGAAATGTTAGTAGGTAGCACATCACTGCAGTGATCACAGAGCAGTATTTATGTTCTTCCTGTGCATTGGGCAGGGGCTTGTCATTTCACACATCATTTACAACTTGCTGCAGTGACTTGGGTGGGGGGACAGGGCACGTATTTTCTCCTCCTTTAATTCAGCATCGCTCCAACTTTTTCCCCTATATTTTTTTTTTACTGAGTAGACATGCTTCGTCTACTAATAAATCTGTCAGCCCTTGAAACCAGGAGGATCTTTTTAGGTTTGCAAGCCACGCATTTTCATTTTAAGAATGTGTTACTGGAAGTTCAAATAATTATCCCAGTTAACAGAGTTTTGCATAGTCTATGAAGACAATGTGTAACTTAGGATTTAAAATAAAGTATGATTCATTTCTACCTAGCCATGCTGCTGGTGGTTCAGACTCCATGCCCCAAGAATGGTCTTCTATTTTTTAATTAATTGATTGAATTTGCTACTAATGACTTAATGGACACTTTTGTAAGTTTGAGCGAAAAGGGTTTTTTTGTTTGTTTGTTTGATTTTTGTTTTTTAAAGCAGGCTTGCAGAACTTTCCATTTCAGGGTGACTTCCTCTTTCCTGCTGTGCCTGTGGTGTGGGGGCAAGATGGCAGACTCTTATTTCTGCCACGCTAGGAAGGTCCCAAGCAATTGAACCTTGATCAGCTGCCCGTGTGGGTCAGTAGTTTCCGCATCAGCAAGGAAGCAGGCAGTTGGAAGGGAGATAAAGTCTCTGTGTGTTTTTTCTAATTATGGGTCGAAATTTTCTGCTTCATTGTATGCTTGGTATATTCTATGGAATAACAGGAATTTTGTATTTTACATTCTTGGTTGCTGGATTTTATTGTATTCCTTTAAATAATGTTGGATTTTGTGCTAGTGTGAAGTCAAGTTATTAGCAATCAGTAAGTTCCTTTCAAGCCTTATTTTTAAGCCCCGTTAGAGCAGGATCCAGAGCAGCCTTTAACCTAGGACTAATTTAGCCCCACTGTTTGGGCCATACCCTTCTGAGGGCTCTACACAGTGCCCTATGTATTACAAAGCCCACTCTGCTGGTGGGAAGATGAGCTATTCCAAGCCCTTATGACCCTGGATCCTCGCACATGCAGATCAGTACTCAGGTAAAGATTTAAAAGCATCCATTTACAGATCATCAGGGCTCTTTCTGTGTGCAGGTCCCTCCTTTCTGGTACTCTTTTCTGTGAATTCTAACTAAACACTTTGGCTTTTCCAAGCTCTAATCTCTGTTTCCTCAGTTTGAGAAGTTCATGGGTGGCTTCTTCCTCCTTGTGCCATAGCCTGGAAACTGCCTCTGGAAGGAAGCTAGATAGTTAGAAGGATCATATAGTTTATCTCTCTATGCTGCCTATTTTCCAATGCCCTATAGAATAATTAAAGCATATCAAATTTAAAAGCAAACAGGATTCTTTCTTGCCATATACATGACAACTAAAATTATGGTCACTTGTTTATTCCATTGGCTAATTCCGTATTGCAGATGGGATTAGACATAGCCTTGAATTTTTTTCAGTGGCAATAAGGTCATTCCAAATAGAAGGGGACTTTGATTAATTTGTTGAAATTTCTCGTTAAAAAGAGTCATTTTAAATGAACATATCCTAACTATTTCTCTGCCACTGATAGTCAGGAAACTAGGAAATTTATTCCCAGGAGAAATAATTTTTAGTACTTTTATACTTGCTGATAATTCAAGTTACTTTGAAAATATATATGAGAATATGAATTGGAGAAATGTCAGTAAGGCAGAAAAACATTTCATTTTTCAGATAACATTTCTCTCTTTAAAATATCAAACAAATGAAATGGGTTGCCTTTGCTTAAGTTTATGCTTTTTTAGTATTATTGAACTGATATTTTAAATGAATTGTTTTGCCTACCCTTACGATAACATTTAGACAACCTTTCTTTTTTAACTTAATGTAATGTGAGCTGAGTCAGAAAAGAAAATAGCTTATCAGAACTCCAAGGCAACAGGCAACTCAGAGACATGGTCACACTCTGGCCATGACTTTCAGCTTCCCTAGTATCTTCTCAGTTGCAAGAACAACAAAATGCAGGCGTATTGGAGTTCTGTGGACTATATTAATCTCTATAAGCTTATTTATTTGACTGTAAAATATCAGGATCTTCATTGGTCTATACTAACTAATGCTGCTCAAGAAAATTAAGATTTGTTTCCAGGTCATGTGAATAGATTATTTTCTATTTTCTAACAAAATGCGATTCTACATACAGGATTTTGAGAGTTTCCAAAGAGTCAGATAAGTTTTTCATATAAACACAAAGTAAAAGATCAGCTATTATTGTGTTCTCTTAAGATTTTGTGTATTATATTATATTACAACCCAAAATTTCTGAGTTGTAAAGCTATAAGAATCTACTGTATTATCTCCCAGGACTTGGTGATAAATCAACCCAAATGAGATTTGAATAAACGAAGTGTGTGCATGCTATAGGAAGAAAATGATTGCAATGATAAGAACCATATAAGATTTCATTGCATGTGAATAGATATTTAGCTACATGGTAATTATGTGAGTGGTATAGGACTAGAGATGTAGTAGCAGGAATTCAAAGAAGGCAAGCTGTTTTGCTCTAAAAATAAATCAAAAGTTGCTATAGAAATTATCAACAGAGAAATAGTCTAGTTAAGTTGAATGGAAATAAATTCACATGTTTAATATTTAAATTAACATTGATAGACACATTTTTTCTATATGGAAAATTATGTAAACAACATATTTCCCATTTTGCTATAACTATACTGGTTTGAATACGGTCAAGCCAATTTTTTCAAGTGTTATTTTTTAATTAAAAAGGTGCTTTTTATTTTGATTTCCTAGTTTATTATAAAAATATTTTCCAATCTCTTATTCTTACATAATCTTTTTCCATATTTCTTGTCTAATTCCCTTTAAAGTGCCTCTAGATTAAAAGAGTGTTTAAAACATCCAATAAGGTTTAGCAGTAAAGATAGTTACATGGGCAATTGTGGACACAATTAATTCTGAGAGCTGGTAGCTGTTCAAAACACTTGGGGAGTTTGAGGTTGGGAAGAAGGGGAGGACAGAAACCTCCAGTTGCAGTGGCTGGGAGGTGATGTGGAGTAAGGGGAAAAGCTACTGAATTTGTCAGAAAACGGGACCTGTTCCATCTGTGCTGCTAATACGCAGTCTGCCTTGTCAGGTCACCACACTGGTTTCTTAGTTTCCTCATCTGGTTAATGAAGAGGTCCACTTTAAAGTCCATTTCAGTTCTAGAATTTCATGATCTATTGTAAAGAAGAGCTATACAGATATGACATTATCTTACTAGGCCCCTGATTTTCTTTAATTGCATGGACACAACAGGGAGACAGAGACGATTTAGTAACCACCAGTTAGACATGGCAGTGTTGACTGCACCATGAGAGAGCACAATAAACAGGTACCCAGACTTACAGCTCTAGTGCAGTCAGCATTGTAGTCAAGAGTCACATTAAATGGTAATTATATCAACTGTTATTGAAAATAATGCTATGACTTAAAGAACCCCTTCCTAAGAGATTACAAAGGATAAATATGATAACAATATGGGTCAGTGCGTGAGTGACTTCTCCACTCTTTGAACAGATTGTGAGCCCATGTGCATGCTAAGTGTACTATGACACAGAAAATCAATCACTGCCCCTCCAGTATATTACGGGGTGAAGCTATTAAACATTTCATTGGGAAATTGAAAAGTACAGCTGTGGAGTTCTTTATCGCTGGGAAGCTGTCATTATTCGAGTGCTCACTAGGTTATTTACCATCAGCCAGTAAAATCCTCCATGGTAGGTTTTATAGTAACCTCGCTAACCTCGAGCACTACTGAAACCATTTGGTGGAGGAGACAATTAGGGGATGATAATAAGGAATAAAAGCCAAATGTTTTCATGAGAAGACTGCTTATTCATCTTTACTGTTGAAATTAGTAAAAACCTAGTCTCCTGCCTCTAAAAGACATGTCTTTCTTTAGCCTTTAACACTGTTTAAAATGTAGATTATCTATAATCTGATGATATTTTCCATTAAGCTCTATTTGGAATTACTTGAAAGGTAGATGGTTTTCGAATGATTATTCCCAGTGAAATCCATCTCCAAAGATAGACTGTGGAACTAAAAGTGAGGGGCTGAGGCGACAGATGGTGCTTGTAGCGCACATGGAACCTCGGCGTTGACTTTTAGAGCAGTAGGACTCAAGGCCTTGGCAACATCCCCAAACCAAACTATGTCCCATTGATTGGTATGAATCATTTTCTCTTAAGTGCCAACAAATCTGCAGTTGACCTTTTCATAGCTCTATGCTGAGATGCCTACCATGGTATTTCTAATCCTTGTCAATTTCTTTCCAGACAGAGCTTTTTGTTCATGCTTTTAAGGATCAGCTGGTGAGAAGCGCTCTGTTAGCACTTTACACTGCCAGGCCAGGAGGCATCCTTAAAAAGCCACCCTCGCCTAAGAGCAGCACCACCGAGGAGAGCAGTCCCCAGGATCTACCCCCACCAATGAGAAGGCAGGACTCCATTCCCCATCATTCAGACTACGATGAGGAAGAGTGGGTAAGTCTCTTGCACATCACTTTCTTCCCAGTGTTCAGTCCTGAGACATTAAGTCAGCATAAGAAGAAATCTCTGCTTTTTATCCAAACAAGGCAGAAAGCAGTCACGATACAGATTGTGGGTGAATCAGTCTCATTTTTACTTCAGGGCAAATTATGAGTGGAAGTTTTATTCCTAGATCACATTTATTTGACATAAAAATGTATTTACTGTCAAATAAATCATACATATACAACCATGAATATGTCATCAAAGCAAAGATGCCACAATTGCTAGATTCTATAATACCTTTCCTTATTTATTGCCAAGGTAATATAAACCATTACAATTGTGCTTTAGAAAAAGAGTCTGAAATTATGTATAATGCACTACTCGGATGCAACAAGTATTTTCATTGTTGTAACCCAAATGGCAGTGGATATAAAGGTCTCTTAAATCCCTCTCCTCATGGTTCTATGATTAAGAAGATGTTCCTCTAGGTGTCCTAAAATTAGCAGAAGGATGGCCACATAAAGCATCTGAAAAAAGTAAAGCCAAGTGCCCTGGCCGGTGTGGCTCAGTTGGTTGAGCATCATCCCATGCACCAGAAGGTCGCTGGTTCGATTCCTGGGCAGGGCACATACCCTGGTTTCTGGCTCTATCCCCAGTAGGGGACATGGAGGAGGCAGTTGATCAATGTTTCTCTCTTGCAGTGATGTTTCTCTTTCCCCCCACTTCCTACCTCTCTCTCTCTAAAAAAATCAATAAAAACATATTATTTTTTTAAAAAGGTAAAGCCAAGTAGACAAAAGGAGCCAGTGTGGATGGGAACTCTAGTTGGCAGATAAGACAGGAGAAACATGAAGGTGCTGGGTGAGGGAGACCAGTGTGTTATTCCTGAATTAATACCTATTAATTTTCTAAGACCCCTCCAAATTATATGCCCACACGGAAGGAAACTCTTTACTGTAGCATATGTTTAATCAAGAAAAGAGTATGCTAGCTGTATTAGATGTTACACAGTTAATAATTACTATTCCTGCTACCCCAAATTTAAAAGTGTTCAGGGAGTAAATTATTGGAAAGGCCCAGATCTCTCAAAAAATTGCTGTCTCAAGTGCTGTGAAGTGATGGCTGCTCTTTCTTCTGATAAAATTTCTATCACAGGAAAAACAGAGCTGGGTTCCAAGAGGTAAATGCTGAATAAGTATTTGTTGTTGCTGATTAAGATTGCATTCCTCCCACGGAAGCATTTTCAAAAGAGCAAATCTAATATTTCTGCCTTTTACCTCACCTTTTCCTTCAATTTATTGAGAGCTCCAAGGCACTTGCCCCTCTTAACCTCTCTGAAGTTCGATTTTCTCAACTGCAAGCACCTGTTTGGCTTAGGGTGGTCATGAGATAAACGATTTACCTGTGTGATAGCGCTCCATTACCTGGAAAGGCCAAGGCATTGGATGACTTTAGAATTTTTTTCTATGTTTTCTTTTATAGCATATGTAAATTAAATAATCTGATTATGAGGATCAGTGCTATTCCTTGTGATAAAAGAGAAAACTGCATATTATGAACAGCTCTATCAAAAATGAATATTATGAATTTTAAGAGTTTGGGTAGATACAGAAAAGAACTTAAGCTTTTCGTAAATAATTACCATTTTATGTAAACTCAAGTGAGAATTTTGGAATTTGGGGTATCGTTGGTTTTTATAATTTTCACCTCACTGTGTTATGCTAATCCTCCCTCATATCTCACCTTCCTCCTGCTACACAAAAATGTCCCTCTTCTGCCTCCCTCCTTATTTCCTTTACTTTACATAACTTTGGGGACTTTCTAAATCGTAGCTGTTCCAAATTGGAAGGTAAGTATTAGGTCCTCAGAGTCTAGTGTTTGATAAAAACATGTTAACAAAGAGTGGCAAAAGGTTATGACAAAGGTTGGAGAGAGACAGAGGGTAGAAGGTGGGCTTCATTAATGTGACTTCAACTCAACATTTGATACACAGAACCTTCTTATGACAGGCAAAGATGGAAGAGAGTGGGACACACAGTGAGGTGAGGAGGTGTCCAGTGAACCATTCAGTTCAGTGAGGTCACTGAGCAGCTGTTCTGCCTGGTGTGCATTCCTGCTGAGGGCAGTGAAAAAAGGAGCTTTTCCGGGCCTTCTCCTTGGCTTGTAGGTGGCCATCTTCCTGTCCTCATGACGTTCTTCTGGGGTGCTACTCTGTCTCCAAATTCCCCTTTTCATAAGGACTCTTCATCTCTGGATCCCATTGTTATTAGAAAGTATATAAAACATTGTCTAAATTTACCATAATTGCTAGGGAAATATTTCCCACTCAGAGAAGTTACTTCTAACTCTCTCCTCCCCAAATAATTTTACTCTATTTGCCAGCAAGAACAGAATTTGATTGTTAGATAGATTCTTGTTAACCACTTTCTTTTAAAAAAATTTCGTCAAGACATGAAAAGTCTTTTAAAAAAAGAAACAGAAAAATTTCACCAAAGCTATAACCATTTAACATTATTTCCAAAGCTTTAACTAACTTTGAAAAGTTTTATAAATTCAAAGAAAATATAGCTAATTGAAAATGCCTTTGGAGATTGTGCTAGTAAATGAATTGGAAACAAGTCTGTGTACCACTTTTCTAGCTAATTAGGTATTAGAAAAGTTTCAGCGCTGATTACAAGTCTAGTCAACTTCCTGAATTAATTCAGTGTTTTAAATAAATTTAATTTGTTTTCTGTGTTATCATATGAAAATATTCTCTGATCACTTACATTGGTTTAGGTTTAGACATAAGATCACAGTAGCTCCATTTTAAAAAATCTATTTGTTCTATTTAATTTCCTATAGTGACTATAGTTTTAACAGTTGCCTAACATGAACAACTGCATGGAGCTTCTTACAATAAATATTTTGAAAGTGAATGCATGTTAGTAAATAACTTCGGAATACTCTGCTGACACATGCAGCATCTTTCTTTTTGAGGTCGTGAGAAAGAATCTTTATTAATTCTAAATCAGAGTGAGCCTGCCTCTTTTCAACTTGTTTTGTTAGCAAAATTGGTGACATGAATCTAGATAATAATTATCTAGTCAATATGGAAGAGATTGAAAGTAAAATGATCAATGACCAAAAAAGTCTGTTATTTGCATAATTTTACTTATTAATGATTGAGTGCTTTGAAGGTTGATTTCTTGAAAAGTTGGTAAACAATTAAATTCCAAAGGAATATTGAGATTTTTATGACAATCTGTGCAAATAGGCTAATATAACATTCTTCATCTTTTAGCTGGTAAAGATGACATACTGCTTGTCTTCCTCTACATTTCTACAACAGATGCTTCCAACAGCTGGGATTCCAAGATTAGTTTGTCCAAAATATGAAAGCATGCCATCCAACCAAAGGATTAAGTTGACCCAGTTTTGTAGTTTTCAGTAATTATGCTATTCTCTTTAACACTGCGATTTAATGTTAACATTAGTACACTGATGGGTTTGGGCTGAAGTCTGCCTACCTTCATTTAAAAAATTGTTTTATTTTTTTATTTTTTTTTTTTAAATATATTTTATTGATTTTTTACAGAGAGGAAGGGAGAGAGATAGAGAGTTAGAAACATCGATGAGAGAGAAACATCGATCAGCCGCCTCCTGCACATCTCCCACTGGGGATGTGCCCGCAACCCAGGTACATGCCCTTGACCGGAATCGAACCTGGGACCTTTCAGTCCACAAGCCGACGCTCTATCCACTGAGCCAAACCGGTTTCGGCTAAAAAATTGTTTTAAAAAAAGGTGACCTTCTGAACCTTTATATTCTGATACATTTTAGCAAAGAGAAGAATAGGAAAACTATTATTATTTATCCCAAACCTACTTTTTAGCTGAACTACATTTCTGTATCAGACATTTTAGCATTCAAATTACCTAATTAATTCCCTCTTCATGTTGTAAATGTAAATCAAATTTTAGATTTTAGTTACATTCTTAAGAGAACATTTGCTATGCCTTATTAAGGTAAAATGTGTTTATGTCACATGAACACAATAGATGATCCACATTAATCCGTAATAACTTTTCAAGAATTTTATAGATCATAGAAACAATAGCACAGATGCACAGTAATATTTATGTCAGTCATCCTGATAATAAAGTCCATTTATATCCTGAAAAAAAATGTGATTTCTCTGTAACTCAATATTCGCAAAGATTGCATTTTGGAATAAGATTTACACAAACCAGTTTCTAATATATTATCAACATCTCACAGTTTATTTGGTATTACACCTTTCTCTAATGATGTCTAGAACAAACATGAATGCCTAATCTTAACAGAAGTATTAATAGAGCAGTTTATATTACCATAATTGGTAACCTTGATCACAGATAGTTTCAAAATATTGCTAACTATTGAGGACAAACGTATTTTTGCCAGATAACCCTATAAGCAATCTTCAGTGATGTGTATTCTCAGCGTCTCTTGCAGGCTTCTGTCTTCATCTTAGACTTTACCTCTAGGGAAAATCATTCAGGCCATGCATAACGCAGAGATACCTATGCAAATTGATTTTCAAAAGAGAATCTGTTCAGTTTTCTGACCAGCTAGAATTATGCTTTGTGAAACCATTGACCTTATCTTAATAAGAAGGAAATCTATCATTCTCAATTTTTAGAGGTAATTAATTTTTATGGACAACTAGATACCAACCTATGATTTAACTTTTCTCAAGCGACACCTTACAGTTTAGAAATCAAAATGAGTAAAATGTTCACTAAAATATGGCCAATCATTTCCAAATTTTATGTAATAGGTAGACAGACAGATATATAGTATGTGTGTGTGTATGCATTCAACTCCAAAACACTTTGTATAATAAAGCATTATTCTTATCCCATGATCACTCAGCCTCGTTAACAATGAATTATAACCAGTCTGTTTCTTCCTTGTGTTCTTGAACTTTATAAGCTCCTAAAGGACAAAGACAGTGTCATGTTCACTGTTGTATCACTGCAGTTAGC